TACTCAGCAGAGAGGACTCCTCTTTTTAATTGGTTTTAAGTTATATTTTATCTGTGGTGTTTGAAATGGTGGAGGTGTTTAAAATTTTGGTTTATGATTTGGTTTTTACTGTGTTGGGGGGTGGGATTAATGCCTCATTGGGGCTGGGGGTTAGTTAATTTTAAATATAACTGTAAATTGTTTTTCTTTTTGGTTCTTTGTTTTGTTGGTTTTTTTTGTTTCTATTGTTTTATATAGTTTCTATTGTTTTATATAGTATCTGGTTCTTAAGGGGAGGGGTCAGAGCTGCCGAGGAGTGGGCCCCAGTCAACAGAATGGCTGGGGCAGGTTCCACAGGGGGGGGGGGAGGAGCATGTGCTGGGACACCTGATCTCAGTGATCACTGGTAGGAGGAGGAGTTATGCTAAGACCAGACCACGTCATTACTGAGGAGGCAGGCTTAGTTGTCTGAAGACTATCCCTGCCTCCGGGTCTGGTCTTGACCAGATGGCTACTGGAATCAACAAGGGAGACCCACATGGCCTGAAGGTGCTGCTGTGCAATGCCAGGTCAATGATTCATAAGACCACTGTCATCCACGACTTGATCCCTGGCATGCGTGACAGAGACTTGGTTGAATGAAGCAGATGGGCCTGTCTTTGCTGCTGCTTGTCCACCAGGTTTCTTTTATGCACAGCAACCCAGGTCATATGGGCAGGGCGGGGGGGTTGCAGTGATTTTTAGGAAGTCACTGGTTTACACCAGGCATCATATTGGGAAGACCCAGTTTTCTGAGTGCATGTTCTGGAAGCTGGGCAGTAGGGGCAGTACGGGATTCCTTTCCTCCCTGCTGCACCAAGGATTCCCTGCCCAAGCTGCTTCATGTTGTGGTGGATGTTCTCTGGAGACACATAGTTTGGTTGTCCAAGGGGATTTTAACATCCATTTTAGTTCCGGAGGTAAATCTGGTGTGTCTAAAGTTTCTCTTACAAGTGCACTTAGCTCTCCTGTAACTTTCTTCTGCAGGTCTTCTCCGTGGTCTCTCCAAAATTTGTCTTTGTCGTCTTCTGATCTTATTTTTATCTTCTTTCCTTTATAGCTAAAGGATAGGCCTTGGGGGAATTCCCACCTAAAAATGATTCCGTTGCTTCTCAGCAAGGTAACCAAATCTTTATAATTGGACCTAAGGTCCAAAAGATGTTCGGAATATCCTTGAATATCTCCACTTTTGACTGTTGTATTTCCAAGGTCTTCTGGAAATGCAGGCTCAAGATTTTATCTCTCTCTTCTTTTGTTCGGAAGGTGATCAAACAGTCTCTCACCCTATTCTTTCTCCCTCCTTTTCCAAGCCTAAAATAGAATAGAATAGAATAGAATAGAATAGAATAGAATCATAGAGTTGGAAGAGACCACAAGGGCCATCGAGTCCAACCCCCTGCCAAGCAGGAAACACCATTAGAGCACTCCTGACATATGGTTGTCAAGCCTCTGCTTAAAGACCTCCAAAGAAGGAGACTCCACCACACTCCTTGGCAGCAAATTCCACTGTCGAACAGCTCTTACTGTCAGGAAGTTCTTCCTAATGTTTAGGTGGAATCTTCTTTCTTGTAGTTTGGATCCATTGCTCCGTGTCCGCTTCTCTGGAGCAGCAGAAAACAACCTTTCTCCCTCCTCTATGTGACATCCTTTTATATATTTGAACATGGCTATCATATCACTCCTTAACCTCCTCTTCTCCAGGCTAAACATGCCCAGCTCCCTTAGCCGTTCCTCATAAGGCATCGTTTCCAGGCCTTTGACCATTTTGGTTGCCCTCCTCTGGACACGTTCCAGTTTGTCAGTGTCCTTCTTGAACTGTGGTGCCCAGAACTGGACACAGTACTCCAGGTGAGGTCTGACCAGAGCAGAATACAGTGGCACTATTACTTCCCTTGATCTAGATGCTATACTCCTATTGATGCAGCCCAGAATTGCATTGGCTTTTTTAGCTGCCGCGTCACACTGTTGGCTCATGTCAAGGTTGTGGTCAACCAAGACTCCTAGATCCTTTTCACATGTACTATAAAAACCATAAAGTAGAGCAATAAAAGGACCATAAAACTATAAAATGGTGAGAGCAGCTGCTTCACCCTGCCTCACAGATCGGTGGCCATCTTCTTTTCACGTGTACTGCTCTCAAGCCAGGTGTCACCCATCTTGTATTTGTGCCTCTCATTTTCTTTGCCCAAGTGCGATACTTTACATTTCTCCCTGTTAAAATTCATCTTGTTTGTTTTGGCCCAGTTCTCTAATCTGTCAAGGTCGTTTTGAAGTGTGATCCTGTCCTCTGGGGTGTTAGCCACCCCTCCCAGTTTGGTGTCATCTGCAAATTTGATCAGGATGCCCTTGACTCCATCATCCAAGTCGTTGATAAAGATGTTGAATAAGACCGGGCCCAAGACAGAGCCTTGTGGCACCCCACTCGTCACTCTTCTCCAGGATGAAGAGGCCCCCAGTTCATGTCCTGGTTCTGGGTGGCCTTCCTCAAGGGACTGGATATTGAGAGACGCCTCTCTTCCGCATACCCCCCTCAAACAGACGGTCAGATGGAGAAGGTTAATCAAGTCCTGGAGCAATATCTCTGCTGCTTCCTGAGCTACCATCAGGACGATTGGTTGGACCTGCTGCTACTGGCTGAGTTTGCCTATAACAACTCCTGCCATGCCTCCATGGAAAAGAGCCCTTTCTACACCAACTTTGGGTACCACCCATGCAACCATCCCTTCACACCAGTGGCATTTTTCATGCCTTCCGCCAATGATCGGGTCTCCCACTTCCAGGAGACACAAGCTGATCTGGTACGGCACCTAGAGAGCCAAGAAAGATTATAAGGCGCAAACAGATCGAAGGCGCCAGCAGGGGCCCGCTTTCCAGGTCAGGGGGTAAGGTCTGGCTGTCCTTGGAACACCACCACACTGGACGTCCCTTGGCTAAACTGGACTACAAATAGCAGGGACCATTCACCATCCTGCAGCAGATCAATCCAGTCGCCTACAAGTTGGAGCTTCCTCCCTCTCTGAAGATCCACCCCATGTTTCACGTATCCCTGCTGAAGCCTTGCCATGCGGACCATTTTCCAGGTCGCATTGCCCCACCGCCACCCCTGGTCCAGTTTGACGGCCATGAGGAGTTCCAGGTCACCCAGGTCCTAGACTCGAAACAACTCTGTGGCAATCTCCACTACCTAATTGATGGGGTGGGCTATGGGCCAGAGGAACAATCGTGGGAACCGGCCAACTTCGTGCACGTGCCCACCAAGGTTTAGGCCTTCCATCGGAGGTTCCCAGACAAGCCATGACCGGGGGTGGAACCCCATTTTTCTGTGGGGGGAGTACTGTCAGGAGTGCATGCAGGAGCCAGGCCCTGTGACCAGTAGGGCTTCTACTCGGACCCCTGGCTTCTGGACTCTTGTTCCTGCTCCCACCCCACCATCTTGCCCCCGGTCCCGATGTCCTCAGCCCGGACTTCTATCGCCTGTAGACCGGACCGTGATAGGTGCCCCTATTGGGATGCTTTGCTTCACCTCCTGGAACATAGCTGTATGGAAGGGGGGAACCCTCCCTGTGGAACGCCTTCCCTTCAGATGTCAAGGAGATAAAGAACTACACAACTTTTAGAAGACATCTGAAGGCAGCCTTGTATATCATTTGATGTTTTACAGTGGTACCTCGGATTAAGACCTTAATTCATTCTAGAGGTCTGTTCTTAACCTGAAACTGTTCTTAACCTGAAGCACCACTTTAGCTGTGCCGCCACAGCACGATTTCTGTTCTCATCCTGAAGCAAAGTTCTTAACCTGAGGTAATATTTCTGGGTTAGCGGAGTCTGTAACCTGAAGTGTATGTAACACGAGGTACCACTGTATTATGTTTCTATATTCTGTTGGAAGCTGCCCAGAGTGACTGGGGAAATCCAGCCAAATGGTTGAGAATATAAATAATAAAATTATTAAGAATTATTATTATTATTACTATTATAAATGTGTGGATTTCATGGGAAGGAGGCATGTTGGGGCTGGACTAAAATCTCCGTACCACTCCTGCTTCAACCTGAAAATGTCCTATAAATTAGAAATGCATAATTTATATAGCTTATTTTTGTGATGTGGACACTATTTTTAAATATATGCCTTAAAATTGCATTAGCATTTTTTAGCAGCTGCCTTGCTGTTGACTCATGTTCAGTTTGTGATCAACCAAAACACGCAATCCTTTGCATGCATGCTATTTCCAGACCAGGTCTCCACAAACTCACTTATTCCTTTGATTATTTGTATCTAAATCAAAGACTTTACAGTGGAACCTCGGTTGTTGAATGCTTCGGAAGCTGAACAATTCGGAACCCAAATGCCGACAACCTGAACATGAATGTTTCCATTTTCAAATGCACCTCAGAAGTCAAACGGCTTCCGAGGTGCATTTCTCCATTTTTAAAAAAAGGAATTTGCCAACTGCCTCAGTTGTTGAATGTTTTGGAAGTCGAATGGGTCTTCCGGAACGGATTATAGTTTTCCTTCCAAAGTTTTGTAAAAATCAGTCTTGTTTCCATTAGGTGCGTAGAAAATTATCAAATTTTCACCTTGCCATTTGATCCGAACTGCTATGATTCTTCCTTCTTCATCTTTAAAAATTTGTTGAGATTCAATTTTGTTTTTTATATATAAAACTACCCCTCTTTTTTTCTCTTTATCCGAAGATACAAATTCATTCCCTAATCTTTTATTAATCAAAAATTTCCTGTGTTTTCTTGCCACGTGTGTTTCTTGTAAACATATAATGTCCAAATTTTTCTTTTTCAAAAATTGTTCAGTTTTATTTCGTTTCTTCTTATCATTCATCCCATTAATATTCCAATTCCATAATTTTAATGCCATGGTAGATTCCAATTAAATAAGTTTAGTTTAACTCCTTATAACCTGTCTACGTCGTCGTCTTCTTCTTCTTCTTCTTCTTCTTCTTCTTCTTCTTCTTCTTCTTCTTCTTCAGACTTCTTTCCGTTCTCTTCTTCTTCTTCCCCCAATTCTAACTCTTCTTTGGATCCTACACCTCCTTCTACACCTTTGACTTCTTCTTCTTCCACTTTTAATTCCTTGTACCTTCTCGTGAACTTCCCTGTTTCTTCTGGGCTTGTCAATCTGTGTTTCTTACTTTTATAAAAGAATGAAATTCCCTCTGGAAATTCCCATTTGAAATCAATTTTGTTTTTCTTAAGAATCTGCACCAGTGGCTTATATGGGTCTCTTCGTTTCAACAGTCTTATTGGTATATCTTTAAAGATGATTATGTAATTTCCATCTATGTATAATCTTTTCTCTCTATTCTTCTGTAATATCAGATTTCTCATCTCTCTATCCTTAAAGGTAATTAAACAATCTCCTGGAAATTTTCTTGCTTTACTTGTTCTTACTCTCATTCTGATACATTTTGTACTGTTTTTGCAACTTCTTCTACTGATAACTCCAACCACTGCGCTATTTCCATTATCAATCTCTCTTTGATATTTTCATTCTGTATCTCTGGCACAGATCTCAGCCTCAGATTCACTTCCCTCTGTCTCAACTCATTCATAGCAATCACATCTTTAATTTCCTCCTGTGATTGGTTTATTTCCAACTTCTCCACCTTAATCCTCTCTTCCTCTCGTTTCACCTCCTTCATTTCCAATTTTGTCCTCTTCATCCCCTCCTCCAGCGATTGGGTTCTTTTAGATACCTCTCTTATTTGCCCTTTCAGTTCATTAACTGTCTCATCAATTTTTTTATCCATTTTCCCAATTTTGCTATCCACTTGTTCTAGTTTTGTTTCCAGATTCTTTCCACTTTGTTTAATTTCTGCAAACATTTTCAATATTTCTGCTTTGAAATCTGCTTCTTGCTTAGATGGTCTCCTATTTGTCGGTGTCCCCCCCTCCATCCCTTTCTTCTGTTGATGTGTCATTTCTGATAAAATCTTACTAACACCAACCTCTGTAACAACACTCCCCAATCATTCAAAACAATACAATACAAATATCATACAGAAACAAGTATCCCAATTTAACAAAATGATCAGTTAATATATATCCAATTTAGTTGGTATAATTTAAACGGTTTTCAATTTTAATTTGTAATGTATCACTTTCAAAAAGGAAAAAGAGTAAGATAAGATTGAATAGTGCTGAAAAGATGAAGAAGAAAGAGAAGCGAGGGCGGTATCTTTTGTACAAGGGGGTGCCCAGAGAGGTGAGTTGTCTGTTTTCCCCCCTTGGTAGCTTCGAAGAGTAAAAAACCAAATCAGAAACCAAGGCCCAAGTAGAAACCAATCTTCTTGCCGCCAGCGGGGCTAATCCTCAATTAGGCTCTTTTTCTAGACATCCTCCTGCGCCCTTTAAAATCCAGATAAAATTGTAATCCAAATAATTCGAATTGTAATCCAGGTGAATTATCCAAATGTAAATATTTTCCAAGTGATTCGAATTATAATCCAAATAGCCTCAATTTATATCCTCTAAATTCAAAATTCCTCAAAAATTGGTTCTCAGTTATCCATTTAATATTCCAAAGGGTATTTAAGTAACTGAGAGATTAAGCCAATAAAATTCCAGAGGGAGCGTTCCACAGAAACCCAGTGCAGAACAAAAGTAAAATCAAAATTTCCTTCCACTTCAAAAACACACCACTAGCAAGAAAAAATCATAAAAAACAAATTGCAGTATCTCATTCCATCCACTAGGGGACCAAAGTCCAAGTTTAAATGGCGTAGATCTAAAGTTCCAAATAGTTACCAATCTCAACTATTTTGGAATTTTCCAATTTCCATGTGCCAGATTTAACTTTTTTAATACTTAAAAGTCAGTATCAACCAAAAAAAAAAGTGGAAAAATGTATTAGTTCCTTCTTCTCTGCAACTGCAGCCTTCCCAGTGCTTGCCTCTATTTAACAATTAACAATGGAGTCGGAAGCTTTCCTTCCATCGCAGTTCTTTGTCTTTAAAAGTGAAAGTGGGAAAACACTTCATTCCTCATGCGTCCTCCGCTACATCAAAGACCTCTGTTTGCCACTATAATGACTTTCTGTTCCCCCTTTTTACTTTAATAGTCTCCTGCTTCTTTGTAGCCTCTATTAAAGTAACTTTTATACTTCTTTACTTTACTTCTGAAAGTTTAGAGAGAAACGGAAACAATAGCCGCTAGCGGCAACTCACTTTCATTTTCCAGCTCTGCTTGCGATGCTGCATCTGCGCTGATTCCAGATGACAGCTGAACTCTATATTTATCCTTTTTATTTACGGAGCCTTCCTCAGTACCACATCATCCAAATTATAAATAAATTGGGTCCGAATTTCTTATATTTGAGAGCGGAGCACTGTTCCTTGCAAGCTCGGGGCTTCGCTATTCGGACATAGCAATGGCTTCCCGATAGCCCGCTATCCCGTTCCGCCGTACTCTTCGCCCCTTTTCGGGGTTACCTGACGGCCGGGCGGGTAGCTTTTTGGCACTGCCGGGAACCTGACTCTCTGGACACCCTCCAGAGGATTAATAGGGGGGTTACTGCGCCCTGTAACCCCCCTTTTCTGTCCGAAATAGCTGGGATCCTCTCGCGGAAAAATCCCTCGCTTGCGACGGGCTCGCGCTCCACCGGAAGTTGTTTCATCTTGTTGGTTTCAGACCACTGTACAAGACTGTCAATACAACTTTGAATTTTGATTTTGTCTCTATGGGGTAGCTATCCCTCCCTGCTTCATGTCATCTGCAATTTGATAAGCATCCCCTCAACTCTTTCAGTCAAGTCACTTATAAAAAAGTTGAATAGCAAAAGGACTAGGGCAGAGCCCCATGGCACTCCACTCAAGGCCATTAATGCATGTTTGTTGGGTATCTGTGTTCAGCCAGTTGTGGATTGACCTAACAATGTCATCCAGCACACAGTTTGCCATCTTGCCAACACAGAGGAGGAGGGGGTAGTGAAAGAGCAGCCAGCAGAGACCTCCCTGGATAGTCTGGGAGATCTTCCTTCTCCAAGGGCTCGCCGATCACTCCGCATTCAAGAACAGAGATTGCAGAGGAGTGTGACTCATGGGACTTTCTGTAGGTACTCAGGATGTTGGGGAGGAAGAGGAACTCTGAGTAGGCAACGTCACCTTTGTGTGGAGACATGGATTCTTTTCTCTTGCACCCAGATGACTGAATAAAAGCCATAAATACAACTTGCTTGTTCTTCTTGCCTTTGATGCTACTGGGGGAAGAAAGGATCCTCCATGCCTGACACCCTCAGAAGAGGAGGATCCATGCGAAGCTGCCATACATTCCTGGTGGGCAGTTTGGTGAGCCATATGGCATGTGAGGCTTTCAATTGTACGATGGCTGTCCCTTGGGTAAATGTGCCGGAATTTCAGGAAACTTATTGACTGTGACAACTAGCAGATGCTTGAACTAAGGGAGCAGAATCCTGAAGAGAACCGGGGTTCACAGGAGATCCTCACTGCTTCCAACAACTGCACTGGGACTTGGCAGTTCTCTGCATCTCAGAAACTTCGGAGCAGTTGTGACATTCACTCTCATTTTATTACCTCATAGGAGTTCATAGAATCATAGAGTTGGAAGAGACCACAAGGGCCATCGAGTCCAACCCCCTGCCAAGCAGGAAACACCATCAGAGCACTCCTGACATATGGTTGTCAAGCCTCTGCTTAAAGACCTCCAAAGAAGGAGACTCCACCACACTCCTTGGCAGCAAATTCCACTGTCGAACAGCTCTTACTGTCAGGAAGTTCTTCCTAATGTTTAGGTGGAATCTTCTTTCTTGTAGTTTGGATCCATTGCTCCATGTCCGCTTCTCTGGAGCAGCAGAAAACAACCTTTCTCCCTCCTCTATGTGACATCCTTTTATATATTTGAACATGGTTATCATATCACCCCTTAACCTCCTCTTCTCCAGGCTAAACATGCCCAGCTCTCTTAGCCGTTCCTCATAAGGCATCGTTTCCAGGCCTTTGACCATTTTGGTTGCCCTCCTCTGGACCCGTTCCAGTTTGTCAGTGTCCTTCTTGAACTGTGGTGCCCAGAACTGGACACAGTACTCCAGGTGAAGTCTGACCAGAGCAGTTTTATCCTGACATTTCATGCCTTGTGTATTTTTATAAGCAGGGAACTTCAATAGGCTCTTTACTGCCTATTTTCCTCTGTTTTTCAGTTGTGCCAAGAGAGTAGCACAGAAACCAAGAAGCAGACATTGATAAGTAAAGAGGCACAAAACATGCCTTACAGGCATTGTTTAAAGGAGGGGAGGGCTTGAAGAGGTATTGAACTACTGACCTCAAATGATTTATATTGCAGTCCGATGTGGAAGTACGAAGCTACTTCACCACAGGGAAGAAATGAGAAATTTTGAGGGCTATTGAACACTGTGAATTCTCACAGCAAAGCAGCTGAAAGTTACTTAGCACAGGTGTCTCCATAATTGTGATGCATTGAGAAAGTTTATGGTGTTCAATGGTCCTTAAACCTATGAAATCCTCAGATTAGTATATTCAGTTTTCAAATAAAGCACACAAGAAAACAGCTTCACTTGTACCACAGCAGAAATGATTTTAATACTGTGGAATATCTTGGTTATTAGTCCCTAAATGACTTGCTTCATTTCCACTTTTGCTAATAAGCCCAACACAAACTTCATTTCAGTCTTACTCTTGGCACCCAAGCACTTCAGTTAAATCCAAATCACTCCCCTTCAGAACAGAAGCTGTTTTGTACTCAGATGGATAACTAGATCATGTGGTTTCATACTATGGACTCAACTGGTAATATCCCTGTAAGGTCTCAGTAGCTTTACTTCTCAGCCTGTTGCCCATGGCACCATTAAGTGGAGACACCAGGCTGGGACACAGATGTCTACCTGCCAAGGAAATGTGCTCTGTGGCAACATCCCTACATAAGATGTACTGAACCTTATACAGAAGCAGTGTGTGTCTCCCTCCAAGTCCTCCTCTGGACCTCAAAGTAGACAAATTTCATATTTATGTCATATTTCGGGTTTTTTTTTACTAACACTTAGCATTTATATAGCACAAATTCTCCCACGAGTTATCTCAGGAACCCATACAATGCGCTTATAAGGTGTTATTGTTTAGTCATGTCCGACTCTTCGTGACCCCATGGACCCAGAGCACGCCAAACACTCTTGTCTTCCACTGCCTCCCGCAGTTTGGTCAGACTCATGTTTGTAGCTTCGAGAACACTGTCCAACCATCTCATCCTCTGTCGCCCCCTTCTCCTTGTTCCCTCCATCTTTCCCAACATCAGGGTCTTTTCCAGGGAATCTTCTCTTCTCATGAGGTGGCCAAAGTATTGGAACCTCAGCTTCAGGATCTATCCTTCCAGTGAGCACTCAGGGCTGATTTTCTTCAGAATGGAGAGGTTTGATCTTCTTGCAGTCCATGGGACTCTCAAGAGTCTCCTCCAGCACCATAATTCAAAAGCATCAATTCTTCGGCGATCAGCCTTCTTTATGGTCCAGCTTTCACTTCCATACATCACTACTGGGGAAACCGTAGCTTTAACTATACAGACCTTTGTCGGCAAGGTGATGTCTCTACTTTTTAAGATGCTGTCTAGGTTTGTCATTGCTTTTCTCCCAAGAAGCCGGCGTCTTTTAATTTTGTGGCTGCTGTCACTGTCTGCAGTGATCATGGAGCCCAAGAAAGTAAAATCTCTCACTGCCTCCATTTCTTCCCCTTCTATTTGCCAGGAGGTGATGGGACCAGTGGTCATGATCTTGGTTTTTTTGATGTTGAGCTTCAGATCATATTTTGCACTCTCCTCTTTCACCCTCATTAAAAGGTTCTTTACCTGTAAGATAGACCAGCATTATTATTACCTTAATGCAATCCAAGAGCTATAAGTGATACTCTGGGTTGTATTCAACTAACTTTTACTCAGAGTAGAGCCACTGAAATTACAAGGTTAGCCGTGGCCACTAATTTAAAAGCTGCACAATGGGACCCGAGGGTAGGCTGGCCTCTCTTTTGCCTCTTTTTGCTGCCCTTGGCATCATGGGATGTTCATCTTCAAAGAGGAGAATGGTTGGTTGAAGAAGCAGGAGGGGAGAGGAGCATCCAGACATATAAAGCAACAGCAACAATGCCTTTGTTAACATGCAGCTTACCACAGAAGCATTCATGAGGAGAATAACAATTTCTGAGACAGTCTTGTAAACAAGAGCAAAAAATTCATTTATGTATGTGTGTGGCCAAGCAAATAGGTGGGTTGTGAACATGAGTGAGTAACAAAGCAGTTTGAGCATGTTAAATATGGAGCAAGTTAGAACACTTTCCACTTTGCAACCAAGACAAATAAAATTAGAAAATTCCAGAAAGATTTTATGACAAAATGCTTCTTCACATACCCAACAAAAGACTTCTTCAAATAAGCAGACATGTGAGTTTGGCAGCAGGATACACAACTCTGCCAATGAAATCCCAAATGCTCAATGAAGTAACAAAAAAAGGGTGGGTTTGGGGGCACTGTCTGCCACAGGTGTAACTATCTGCCTCTTGGTCAGAAGTTGTGGGTGTCCTAGGTGCAATTTGCTCCTGACTTTCTGAGAACAAGCTTGTTCCCTCGAGGCCAAGATGGCAGCCCAGGAAAAGGTAAGACAGGCAGAGATATTGGTGAAAGATCCCTTTGGTGACCTTCTAGTTGTGTCTCACTTCCACAATGACAGCTCCCAACTACCGTTGGGAGACTGGAGAGTCTTGGGAAAAGAGAGCTTTGCTTGGAGGAAGAGGAAAACATTCCCTTAGATGGGAATTTCTCGTGGGATGAACAGCTATCCTGTTGTGTTTAGGAGACTTCTCTGGGTGGGGCAGGGCAGCGTGGAGAGACTTTTAGATGCCTTGGGGGTTTTCATGCCGATATAATATATGTAAAAGCAGACTGAATACTCTAGACCTGCCTCCAAACATATGAGTGGAAATGAAATTTTGGGAAAGAAGAAAGGAAGAAATTTGAAACTGAAATTAAGATTTGGATGTTGAAATTTGACCTCAAAATATAACAAGCAATTTTTAGAACTAAACTGTCAAATCTGGCTGTTTATAGCTGTTCATCTATTTAAGGATACGTTTTCTGATTATAAACAGATCAATTCAAACAAATGGCAAAATTCGACTTAAAGTCATTTATAAACAAATATTTTATAAATGTGTCAGAGTGGCTGGGGCAACCCAGTCAGATGGGCAGAGTACAAATAATAAATTATTATATATTAACTGCTACTGCATGCCAGCTGCCAGCCCAAGTGATAGCTTTCAAATGCTGAATAGCAAATATTGACACTTCACTAAATACAGACACTTCAAGAGAGCATTGGAAAACACCATTTGCAGAGTAGAAATTTGAGGGATATTTGTTGGAGAAGATAAGGAGCAAAGTACTCTTGTTTAAGCCTGTCTGCAGATTTTGCTGTCTTATCCCATGTCTTTTATTTTTCATTTAGCAATGGTTCATCAGCGTCATCTTAAGTTACAGTTATAAAGGGCTTGTATAACTGCATCTTCACTGTGATGACTTTTTTTAATGACTTGCTTTTTCAAGTCATTAAATACTCAATCAAATCATAGAATCATAGTACTGTAGAGTTGGAAGGGATCCTGGGGTAATCTAGTACAACCCTCTGCGATGCAGGAATCTCAGCTAAAGCTTCCATGACAGATGGGTAACATTACCCAAAACACATTTTGTTGTATAATACTATTGCTGGGTGTGTTGCTTCTGAAACCAGCTTAACATCAGTCAGAGTCTTTAAGCCATTTCTGATTTGTCTCTAGCCAAGATGTGAATCCAGGATAAAGACAGCCCAGCTCATTAATTGCTGAGAAGTACCTCGTCTGCCCCCCATGATCAGGAAAACCAATACAACTCTAGCAATTGCACATCAACTTTGGCTCTCAACACACAAAGGTCAGAAGTGGTGTGGAGCCAGTGTGCACGGGGGTGGAGTGGGACTTGTATGAATGCCCCATCACACCCCACACACTTTCACCCAAATGCACATGTGAGAAGGCCTTAGGCAGTCGGATGTGTTTCATTATAAACATGATTTATTTTTCCTTCTGTGTTGCTCCTATTGCAGTTTTTGTTTCTTATCCTAAATGCTTCTCCTCCCCAACCCATGCTGCCATAATACTTCTTTAAAAAGGAGGGGGATAAAGAGGAGAAACAGCTTAAGTTGCAAAACCTTTTCCTTTCTCTGGGGAGAGCAACAAAACTTGCAGTGTATTGGATATTGTTTCTAAGTTTCCTGAGGGGAAAGAATTGTCTCTAGGCACAAATTAGTGCTACAAGTGGAAGATACAGCTCAGCTGTTTATAAACTAATATGCAGCAATTATGATAAAACAAAACTCAGTCTGAAATTCTGCTGTAACTATGACAACCCACATTCAGGGTATTCTACTGAAAGCATAAAAAACCACCCCAGCAGGAGTGAGTAAATAGTATCTATTATTGATTTATGAAGGTTCCAAACAGTGAAAATTGGTTAATATATTTTGTCATGAAATATTTTTACTCAACCTTCATTTTGATTGATAAAGTTATAGTCTATTTAAGTAGCACCAGCCAGATAGAAGTGATTTCCAAATTTATTTTTAATCATTCTTTTTTGTTAAACTCC